ATTTTGTTATTGGTCTAAATTTGCAATTTGACAGAACGTGGACAGTGTGCTCATTTCTTCATCGAGGTGTTGTCCGAGTGATTGCCGAAATTAACAAAGTGCAAGCGTTGTACTTTTCATCGAAGGGGAGAGACCCTGTTTGTTATATGAGGCAACGCCGGATATAACAATGATATAAAATTAGCCGACGTTCAACAATATTCGATTTTTTTTATCAATTAAATTAGGACTAACAAAATTGCACGTATAATTTTTAAAACTTTCTACATGTGAAATTTTTTTAATAATTTTTCAATAAAATAAATTATAAAAATTTTCAGTAAAAAAATAAAATATGAAAATTTTTAATAGAATAAATTATAAAAATTTTCAAATGTTGACTAATTTAATTTTTATCAAAAAGTCCATAATAATAAAGTTAGCCGACATTTTTTATTTTTTGATTTTGCTTTATTTATCAAATTAAAACTAAAAAATATTTTTTTTTAATTGCAAAGTTTTTCAAATTTTTTACAAATAAAATTAAAAAAAAAAAAAAAATTTCTGTAATAGGTAATTTGTTCAATAAAAAAAATTCTAAAAATTTTTATATGTCGGCTAACTTTATTATTGTCATAAAGAGTTAACATTTTTTTGTGACGTATGGGGACTGGTTTATAAACTTACTTATCTACATACTTAATGAAGTGGCGCCTTTATTCCATCATTAACTTTTTTATATTCATATACATATAGTGTCATATAAAATACTATCGTGGTTTAATCAATTAAATTACTTTTATGTTATAAACTAACACCACAGATTTTTCATTAATTATTAAAAAATTTCTATCTATTATCTTCACTACGTGGTAGAAATATTATGAATAACGGTATATATTGTTAAAATTTATGAAATTTTTTTTAATTTTGAGGTTATAAATTTTCGTATTTTGCTAAAAAATGTAAGTTATATTATTAAGACACCGATGTTGCGATGTTTTAGACATAAACTTTTTTAAATTAACAGCTTTTAGTTTATGTTTGAGTCTTATGTACAATCATATTGGACATGTTTATTTATATTTAAAAAAATCTTGATAAATTCATGCCGCGTGATTGTAAGGCTCTGCTATGAGTATAGCTATGAGCATGAGTATGCGGCGTAGATTTATCAGAACTTTTTACGTATGAATGACCACCTCGATTAACATTATATTATCGCTATAATCAAAACTATAATAAATACATTAAAAATTTTTGTTTTCAGTAAAGATGAGCCTAGACACTAAACAAAGAACAATTATGTTCACATTCACTGCCGAAATGGATACGTACTCTGGAAATTCTAGATCACTTTCTTTCAAGACAGCAGATATTCCTGATACAGAATTCAATATTTCAACAGAAAAAACTGCCGATAGGAATTATAAAGTACAAATAAAAAAAAGTGATCTTAGACCAGCAGTTGCGATCATCAAATTAAAAGTAGATAAGCAGAAGCCACTAATTCACCCTGTAGTTGATTGGACGCAAAACGTTGATTTTAATCACATTCTGATCTGTGTGACGCCTGATTGGCAGAAAGACATTTCCTATAAATGTGAATTTTCATATAGTCGTTTATATCGCAGCATACCAGTACACTGTTCAATAACTTGGCAAGGGTACATAGAAGACACATATTACCTAGATATGTGCACACATATTAAAAATTATTACAAAAACACTGAATTTAGTAACATGAAAATTAAAGTCGGAGACTGTGAATTCCCTGCTCACAAAAATTTGTTGGCAAAACACAGTCCTGTATTTCATAAAATACTGATCAGTGACATGAAAGAGTCAATCGAAAACATTATTTCTTTCCCGGATGCCGATGTCAGTACTGTAAAAGAAATGCTTCTGTTTTTTTATGAGAAAAAACTGGATGAAGCTACAAAAAATGAAGAAATGACGTTAAAATTACTCAAATTTGCAGCTATGTATGAAATTTCCCGATTGAAAACTGCTTGCGAATATATTTTGATAAAGAGTTTGAGAATTGATAATATTTTTATTCTTTATGCCGTTGGAAAATATTATAATTCAACTATTCTGCAACAACATGCACTTATCTTCTTGAAAAATAATGCCTCTGATTTACTCGAAGGAGCGTGTGAGATGTTTGAATAATTATACTAATAATATCATTTTTTTTAAAAAGAAAAGATTTTAACTATGTAAAAATTGGTATCTTATGTTACTAATAAGTTTTTATTTTTTTTAAACACTGTTTTTAATATTACTTTAAGTTTTAAAGAATAATGATATTTTACTTAAAATGTATTACAGAAATAAGAATGCTTTTCTTTTTATCTTGTTATAATAAATACTTCTTGCTTGCAAAAATTTTTATATATAATTCTTAATTTCATCTGGCTTTTTCTATTTTTATTTTTAATAAATTTAAAAAAAATTTTTATTCTATAGCTGTCAATAACTCATCAATAGCATAAATTAAAGAAAAATAATCTTACTTATTTTGGATAAATTAAATTAACTCCATTTTATAAGTTTATTATTAATGAAGTAAATGAAGTCAAAATATTAAAATTTTATTAAATAATTAAAATATAATTATAAAAAATGTATCAAATAGAGAAATAATTAAACAGTAAGTAGTTTGAGAATTATTTATGAACTCTTTATTTTTTAATATAATTTAAAAATTCATCATGTTAGTTACCAAGCGGCGTAAAAATTTTTTTGGTAATATTTTGTTGAATTTAAGTTGACAATTATTAATTTTTAACTTCTTGTTGAATACAATTTACTAAAAAGTCAAAACAGTTTTTTATGTGACGCTTGGGTATGTCTTTTGGCATTTAATGCTTTTTAATATTATTATTTATAATTTTATTTACTTTTGAAAAAATCATGATAAAAAGTCATTAGGGACAGATCGTAACAAATGTATTTTTGAAAAATATTATTTTTATACTTACATTTTAAATAAATACAAGTAATTATTGCAAAAGTTTGTAATACTTAGTTAAATTTTTTTTTTAAAGTAATTAAATAAAAATCAAATTTCGAAAATACGTTACTCGAAATATATAAAATAAATGTTTTATTATGATTACGTCCAATGATTAAACTTGAATAATTAGTTAACAGGTATGTGACAATAATTAAACAAATGAAATTGTTTAAAAAATTCTTGCAATGTTTCGTATTGTTTTTAATACATCATTAGGCAACTGAAATATTAAAATAGTACATGACAAAATCATGTGCACAGAAAAAAAAACTTTTTGCACCAAGAAAATTTTAAGGAAGAAAAAAGTTATTTTAGAGCAAGAAGAAATTTTCTTGGCTCGAGAAACTTCGACTTCATTCAAGAAATTTTCAATCTTCCTTAATATTTTCTTTAGCCAAGAAAATTTACCCTTCAGTCAAGAATTTTTTTTTCAGTGTGATTGAAAAATATTTGAATGTTCAAGTATTTGATGGAAAATTAATTATTTCTTTATTCTTTTCAATCTTAATATAAAATGCAATTTAGCTATTGTATATACAGAAAAAAAAAATTAAATTGAATCAAGAGAAAAATTACATTATAAATAGTCATAATCGTTGCTTTATATAAAAAAAACTAGAAAAATTGCCGTTCAAAATAACATTTTTATAAATTCAAACTTTGAACGTAATTTTTAGAGCATTCAATGTAATATTTTAATTTTACAATGTAATTCTTACAAAATTTGTAATAATTACAATCTGAAACTGAAATTTTTCTTATTTTTTATATGAAGCGCCACGTTACATTATATAATATAATTTTTCTCATTTTTTTTTTTCCGTGCAGTGCATAGTTATTAAAAAATATTTTAGAGTTTTTGGAAAATTAAATTTGTAAAAGAATCCAGATTTAAAAATATTCAAAAGAATTTAATACTCGAAAATTAAGAGAATTTTAATTGTTCAATTAAAAAACTCTTTATCATATAAATACGCAATACACCAAGACAAAATTTTCTTTATTCTCGTAAATATATAGATAAAAATCTATAAAACTCTGTAAACTTTTCAAAGTTGATCTATATTTTAAAATCTGAGAAATTTTCTGTCATAAATTTTAAGATAAGAACTACAATTTAATTTTCGCGCGCAAGCGCGCGTCTTGACTATAGAGTTTGCATATATTTTCATGCTTATGATATATTCGACCAATCACGTTACGAATAGTTTGATGCCACATACATTTCATCTCAATTTTATTATGGGACTAGAATTTAATTTACGCGCGCCTCATTTATTGTCATGATATATTTATGTGTCGTTTATGTATATTATATTCACTTTCAACCAATCAGAATGAGAATATTTATTTTCGACCAATTACATCAAGAATAAATTGGTTTCACATACATTTCATCTCAATTTTATTATAGAGACTAGAATTTAATTTTCGCGCGCAAGCGCGCGCCTCATATTTATTATCATGGTATATTTATGTGTCGTTTATGTATAGTATATTCACTTTCAACCAATCAGAATGAGAATATTTATTTTCGACCAATCACATCACGAATAAATTGGTTTCACATACATTTCATCTCAATTTTATTATGGGACTAGAATTTAATTTTCGCGTGCAAGCGCGCGCCTCATATTTGTTATCATGATATATTTATGTGTCGTTTATGTATATTATATTCACTTTTAACTAATCAGAATAAGAATAAATATTTTCAACCAATCATATCACGAATAAATTGGTTTCACATACATTTCATCTCAATTTTATTATGGGATTACATGATATATTTTCATATAATAAATATTTTCAACCAATCACATCACGAATAGATTGGTTTCACATACATTTCATCTCAATTTTATTATAGAGACTAGAATTTAATTTTCGCGCGCAAGCGCGCGCGTCATATTTGTTGTCATGATATATTTATGTGTCGTTTATGTATAGTATATTCACTTTCAACCAATCAGAATGAGAATATTTATTTTCGACCAATCATAACACGAATAGATTGGTTTCACATACATTTCATCTCAATTTTATTATGGGATAAGTCCCAGTCCGAGTAAATTATCAATTACTCGACAATTACTCAAAAAAAAATCTATGAACTTTATTGTATTGTTCAGCTTAGTCTAGACACATTAGGAATAATTCTTTGTAAATCTAGATCTATTTTATTTGCAATAATGGGTCACTTGGAATAAGATACTGATCATTTAGGAACACTATTAGACAGGATTGAAAAATTTTATAATTTTAATTTATCAATACATAAATGTATCTGCAATCATATAATCTCTTAAGTATCTCATTTTCTAAAACGTTTACTGAATAATAGAGAGATTATTCGATTCCCTGAGACTAGGTCATTACAGCCAGACGACATCCAGGCGGGCATTTATGACCTGGGAATATCAAGGGTCGTAATTTCAGCATGGTCTTATTTTGTAATTTCAAGAGGGGATGCAAGCTAGGGAGGGGGTGACAGAAACACCCATAACTACCCTCACTACCCAATAGAAATCTACCCTTCAAGAGAATGAAGGTCCTAATAAAAGGAAAATGGAAAATTAAAATCAACATAGATAAAACTCAAATCATCATATTCTCCCACAAACAAAAAGCTATCAAGACTCAAATAACTATGTATGGTCAACAATTAACACAATCTACCGAAGCAAAATACTTAGGTCTCACACTTGACCCTAAGCTAACTTTCTCAAACCACATCAAGACAGTCGTTCGCAAGGCCAACTCAGCGGTATCGTTGCTGTATCCACTTATTTGCCGAAACAATGCTCTAAGTCAACATAATAAATTAATTATATATAAAATGTGCATATTACCTATTATCTTATACGCATGTCCAGTCTGGAGTAACACATGCTATTCAAATTATCACAGACTGCAAATCATTCAAAATAAAATACTGCGTATGATTAGTAATGCTCAATACGATAAGCGTATTAAAGACCTACATAATAATCTAAACATTAAATACATTAATGAAATCATTAAAATACACTCAATGAAATTTTATAATGAAAAATTAAACTTAAAGATATTATCAAACGTCTGTAAACTAACAGAAATCAACGACTACTGTAAATATAAATTACCACAACATATTGTAATGAATAACATATAAATATTTCATATTTTTATCCTTTTTTTATCTGAATAAAAATTTCTAATTGGGTTTTTCTCGCTTTTTTCCCACTCATTAAAATAATAATAAATTAGTATAACAACAAATCACAACAAAAATCCAACTGTTCAAAATTGTGTAAGCCTAAGGGCAGGGAACAAAATAAATAAATAAATAACACTGTATAGATATACGCCACAAACTGTATGTAATAAATTAAATCAGTAAAAATCTTTGAAATTGAAAAAATAATAAAAGGAGCCGAAAACTGAGAAACAGGACAGTTATTACCGGACAAGTGTTCAGAACGCCACGTAAATACATTTTTCTATAAAATTATTCAGATAAATTTCGGTAGTTTGCTCAAATATAAAATAATAGCTTGTGCGTAAAATAATTTTAAATAAAATCTATTAAATTTATCAGGATATTTAATTCTTTATATAACTCAAACTCAAAGTGGCACAAAAATTTTTTTAAAAACAAAATTAACAGATATCCGACAATTTATTTAAATTTTTGTTAAAAAAAATAAAATTAAAAATTTTACATTTAAAAGATTTGAACAATTTTAAGTGCAATTTTTTGTGAATATTTTTTTTGGTTCTAATTTAATAAATAAAAAAAAAAAAGATCAAAATTTTCTTTCAAGTCTGGATCATAAATTTTTTTGGTAATATTTTTTTGAATTAAAATTTTTAATTTCATTTAACAAAAAAATTTGTTTCAAAAAATTTTTTTTAAAAAATTGCATTCTTAAATTTTTTAAATTTCTGTGTCAATTTTTGTTATAATTTATTTGTTAAAAAAATTCTTAAAATTACTAAATTTTTTTAAAATTAATTTTTGACTTGCATAAAATCTTATAAAAACTAAAAATTATTCTTTTTTTTATCACACTTGAAAAATTTTTCATTTTATATAATTACAATTTTAAATTAAATCTCCCGCTTTTATTAATTCACCGTGAGGGGGTCATCTGAGTGATCCGAACGGAAATGTAGCCAATGTAATAATTGTAAAGAAATTCAAAAAGTAACTTGCTCTCTAACAAGTTATATACATTTAATACTTCATACATAACACTTAATGTATGTCAAATAATAGTAAATTCTATATAATAAAATACACACA